CTTAACGCTACGCTGCGCTACCAACCCGGCAAACCCAGTTCGATTCCCGCTCACGGCCACCACCGGTGACGATTATTTGAACCTCCCCTAGGTCGACTCTGCCTCAAACGAGTAACTTAACTACTGTAGCGTATTAACATCGCCACTGGGGAGACAAAGGCGGCCGGCCGTGGTAGATACAAGTCCCGGGCGAAGCCGGGTAGTACAGCTAGTACTGGTAGGAACAAAGTGGACCAGACCACCAATAGATTAATGTGTCCGTCCGTCCGTCCGTGTATCAACATCGCCCCCTACTGCAAACACTTGGCATGACCCTGTCCGACAAGATGGCCGCCCGCTCCCCCTGCAATGTGAATTAAACAAGATGGGCCGCCCGCTCACCCTGCGATGTGAATTAAACAAGATGGCCGTCGCTTCCGGTGCATAACGGCACACTTTTAAAACTTCGCTTCAAAATTACTTTACTGAAACGCAGCACGTTTTTTTTTTTTTTAACAACAGAGACAAGAAACATTTATTAACACAGAGACGAGATACATTTAATCACCTTATTTGTGCACGAAAGCACGGCGCGAGGCCTAGTGCGGCAGGCTTCACAAGGCCTAGTGCGGCAGGCTTCGCGAGGACCTAGTGCAGAAGGTGCGCTGGTGGGGGCTGGTGGTGGGGGCTGGTCGGTGGGGGGGTGGTTGTGGGGGCTGGTGGTGGGGGGTGGTGGTGGGGGGTGGTGGTGAGGGGTGGTGGTTGGGTGGCGTGGTTGGTGGTGAGGGGTGGTGGTGGGTGGTGGTGGGGTGGTGGTGGTGGGTGATGGTGGTGGTGGGGGTGGTGGTGGGGTGGTTGGTGGGGGGTGGTGGTGGGGTTGGTGGTGGGGGGGTGGTGGTGGGGGGTGGTGGTGGGGGCTGGTGGTGGGGGTGGTGGTGGGAGGGTGGTGGTGGGGGTGTGGTGGGGCTGGTGGTGGGAGGGTGGTGGTGGGGGGTGGTGGTGGGGGTGGTGGTGGGGGGTGGTGGTGGGGGATGGTGGTGGGGGGGTGGTGGTGGGGGGTGGTGGTGGGGGTGGTGGTGGGGGCGTGGTGGTGGGGGTGGTGGTGGGGCTGGTGGTGGGGGTGGTGGTGGGGGGTGGTGGTGGGGGTGGTGGTGGGGTGGTGGTGGGGGCTGGTGGTGGGGGGTGGTGGTGGGGGGTGGTGGTGGGGGTGGGTGGTGGGGGGGATGGTGGGGGGGCTGGTGGTGGGGGTGGTGGTGGGGGCTGGTGGTGGGGGCTGGTGGTGGGGGCTGGTGGTGGGGGCTGGTGGTGGGGGATGGTGGTGGGGGTGGTGGTGAGGGTGGTGGTGGGTGGTGGGGATGGTTGGGGGGTGGCTGGTGGGGGGGTGGTGGTGGGGGATTGTGGTGGGCCGGTGGTGGTGAGGGATGGTGGTGGGGGCTGGTGGTGGGGGGGTGGTGGTGAGGGGTGGTGGTGGGGATGGTGGGTGGGGCGAGGTGGTTGGGGGGCTGGTGGTGGGGGTGGTGGATGGGGCTGGTGGTGGGGGATGGTGATGGGGGCGGTGGTGGTGGGGGCTGGTGGGGGTCGGTGGTGGGGGGATGGTGGTGGGGGCTGGTGGTGGGGCGCTGGTGGTGGGCGGAGCTGGTGGGCTGGGGGATGGTGGTGGGGGATGGTGGTGAGGGGTGGTCGGTGAGGGGTGGTGGTGAGGGGGTCGGTGGTTGAGGGATGGTGTGGTGAGGGGTGGTGGTGAGGGATGGTGGCTGGGAGGCTGGTGGTGAGGGTGGTGCTGAGGGTGGTGTGGTGGGTGGGTGGTTGGGTGGGGGGTGGTGGTGGGGGCTGGTGGTGGGGGCTGGTGGTGGGGGCTGGTGGTGGGGTGGTGGTGAGGGGTGGTGGGGGTGGTGGTGGGGGGTGGTGGGGTGGTGGTGGGGGTGGTGGTGGGGGTGGTGGTGGGGGCTGGTGGTGGGGGCTGGTGGTGGGGGCTGGTGGTGGGGGTGGTGGTGGGGGTGGTGGTGAGGGCTGGTGGTGGGAGTGGTGGTGGTGAGGGCTGGTGGTGGGGGGTGGTGGTGGGGGCTGGTGGTGGGGGCTGGTGGTGGGGGGTGGTGGTGGGGGGTGGTGGTGGGGGGGTGGTGGTGGGCGCTGGTGGTGAGGGCTGGTGGTGGGGGGTGGTGGTGAGGGCTGGTGGTGGGGGGTGGTGGTGGGGGTGGTGGTGGGGGTGGTGGTGGGGGCTGGTGGTGGGGGCTGGTGGTGGGGGTGGTGGTGGGGGTGGTGGTGGGGGTGGTGGTGAGGGGTGGTGGTGAGGGGTGGTGGTGAGGGGTGGTGGTGAGGGGTGGTGGTGAGGGTGGTGGTGAGGGGTGGTGGTGGGGGCTGGTGGTGAGGGGTGGTGGTGAGGGGGTGGTGGTGGGGGTGGTGGTGGGGGCTGGTGGTGGGGGCTGGTGGTGGGGGCTGGTGGTGGGGGGTGGTGGTGGGGGGTGGTGGTGGGGGGTGGTGGTGGGGGCTGGTGGTGGGGGCTGGTGGTGGGGGGTGGTGGTGGGGGGTGGTGGTGGGGGGTGGTGGTGGGGGGTGGTGGTGGGGGGTGGTGGTGGGGGGTGGTGGTGGGGGGTGGTGGTGGGCGCTGGTGGTGGGGGCTGGTGGTGGGGGCTGGTGGTGGGGGCTGGTGGTGGGGGGTGGTGGTGAGGGGTGGTGGTGAGGGGTGGTGGTGAGGGGTGGTGGTGAGGGGTGGTGGTGAGGGGTGGTGGTGAGGGGTGGTGGTGAGGGGTGGTGGTGGGGGCTGGTGGTGAGGGGTGGTGGTGAGGGGTGGTGGTGGGGGCTGGTGGTGGGGGGTGGTGGTGGGGGCTGGTGGTGGGGGGTGGTGGTGGGGGCTGGTGGTGAGGGTGGTGGTGGGGCTGGTGGTGGGGGGTGGTGGTGGGGGCTGGTGGTGAGGGGCTGGTGGTGGGGGCTGGTGGTGGGGGGCTGGTGGTGGGGCTGGTGGTGGGGGGTGGTGGTGAGGGGTGTGTGGTGGTGAGGGGTGGTGGTGGGGGCTGGTGGTGGGGGGTGGTGGTGAGGGGCTGGTGGTGGGGGATGGTGGTGGGGGTGGTGGTGGGGGGTGGTGGAGGCTGGTGGTGGTGGGGGTGGTGGTGGGGGCTGGTGGTGGGGGGCTGGTGGTGGGGGAGTGGTGGTGGGAGGGCTGGTGGTGGGGGGTGGTGGTGGGGGCTGGTGGTGAGGAGTGGTGGTGGGGGATGGTGGTGGGGGGTGGTGGTGGGGGGTGGTGGTGGGGGGTGGTGGTGGTGAGGGTGGTGGTGGGGGTGGTGGTGGGGGCGGTGGTGGTGGGAGGGTGGTGGGGGCTGGTGGTGGGGTGGTGGTGGGGGGTGGTGGTGGGGGTGGTGGTGGGGGGTGGTGGTGGGGGTGGTGGTGGGGGGTGGTGGTGGGTGGGGTGGGGCTGGTGGTGGGGGGTGGTGGTGGGGAGTGGTGGTGGTGGGGCTGGTGGTGGGGGTGGTGGTGAGGGGGTGGTGGTGGTGAGGGTGGTGGTGGGGGCTGGTGGTGGGGGGCTGGTGGTGGGGGGTGGTGGGAGGGCTGGTGGTGGGAGTGGTGGTGGTGAGGCGTGGTGGTGGTGAGGGCTGGTGGTGGGGGGTGGTGGTGAGGGCTGGTGGTGGGGGGTGGTGGTGGGGGTGGTGGTGGGGGTGTGGTGGGGGGTGGTGGTGGGGGGTGGTGGGGGGGGGTGGTGGTGGGGGCTGGTGGTGGGGGCTGGTGGTGCGGGCTGGTGGTGGGGGGTGGTGGTGGGGGTGGTGGTGGGGGGTGGTGGTGGGGGCTGGTGGTGGGGGGGTGGTGGTGGGGGCTGGTGGTGGGGGCTGGTGGTGGGGGTGGTGGTGGGGGGTGGTGGTGGGGGCTGGTGGTGGGGGTTGGTGGTGGGGGTGGTGGTGGGGGTGGTGGTGGGGGTGGTGGTGGTGGCTGGTGGGGGGCTGGTGGTGGGGTGGTGGTGGTGGGCGCTGGTGGTGGGGGGTGGTGGTGGGGGCTGGTGGTGGGGGCTGGTGGTGGGGGCTGGTGGTGGGGGTGGTGGTGGGGGCTGGTGGTGGGGGCTGGTGGTGGGGGTGGTGGTGGGGGCTGGTGGTGGGGGGTGGTGGTGGGGGCTGGTGGTGGGGGGTGGTGGTGGGGGTGGTGGTGGGGGCTGGTGGTGGGGGCTGGTGGTGGGGGTGGTGGTGGGGGGTGGTGGTGGGGGGTGGTGGTGGGGGTGGTGGTGGGGGCTGGTGGTGGGGGTGGTGGTGGGGGGTGGTGGTGGGGGGCTGGTGGTGGGGGCTGGTGGTGGGGGCTGGTGGTGGGGGTGGTGGGGTGGTGGTGGGGCTGGTGGTGGGGGGTGGTGGTGGGGGGCTGGTGGTGGGGGTGGTGGTGGGGGCTGGTGGTGGGGGCTGGTGGTGGGGGTGGTGGTGGGGGGCTGGTGGTGGGGGTGGTGGTGGGGGGTGGTGGTGGGGGTGGTGGTGGGGGCTGGTGGTGGGGGGTGGTGGTGGGGGGTGGTGGTGGGGGTGGTGGTGGGGGTGGTGGTGGGGGCTGGTGGTGGGGGCTGGTGGTGGGGGTGGTGGTGGGGGCTGGTGGTGGGGGCTGGTGGTGGGGGCTGGTGGTGGGGGCTGGTGGTGGGGGCTGGTGGTGGGGGCTGGTGGTGGGGGGTGGTGGTGGGGGCTGGTGGTGGGGGGTGGTGGTGGGGGCTGGTGGTGGGGGCTGGTGGTGAGGGGTCTTTAAATCTCACAGCGTTTCTTGTCAAAACAAACACATTAACGTTACACTAGAATACAGTAATTGTGTCTTTAACTCCTCTATACCCGGTCGATATCCCTGTACCGGTACTAAGTATTATTCCTACCAGCCCACCCCGCAGGGTCCTGTTTATCCCACAACTATACCAAGGGTACATTCTCATTACCATAACCATCATAAACCGTAGCCATTGACAGCAGACTTTCAGGCGTCGCTATAATTGTGGCTATACATCAACAGCATTATTCATTCAAAGCAGAGTGCCATTTTTCCGCAACGAAAGACTGTTTTTGATTATAAATAGGAGCCCTGCACGCAGGGCAACAAAAAATTGTTTACAGACTCATTGAATTGTTCCTCTCCACGGAAATCTTTAGTAAAAGGCGAAAGATTTATTCGCTTTGAAGAGAAACCAGAGCATTTAACTTCAAAAACCCACCCGTCACGTTATTAGATAAGAGCCCTGTCTCTCTACTATATGGGGTCCCTAACCCTGGCTCTCTCTCAAATGAAAATAACATCACCTTTACAAGATATTTCACAACGTGCATATTTATTAATCGATTATTGAACATTTCATTGAATGTTTACGTTTAACTATTGATATATTCTTTCTTTAAAAAGATGCTGTCACGTTATATTTATCAGAACCGGAAGTAAAATTTGCATACCGACCTCACAACCGGAAATCGTCCGAGTGGGAGCGTCACGTGTCCAATGACAAAGGTCCCCCGTGTAGCCTCTAACAGACTCAACGCAAGGGGGGGAATGGGCCAGCAAACAACACCCGACCGCCTTTGTCTCCCCACAGTGGCGATGCTTATACACACCGCACCAGGTACACATTCGAGGCCGAGTAGACCTAGGGGAGGAGGCCCCCACGGGTGCCGGTTCCATGTAATCGCCGGGTTCGTAGCGCTCCCCGCTACTCCACCACCACCTCCACACGTGCTGTTCGCCCCCTATCGGACGCACTGTGGCTAAGGCTTCGTTTTTTTGCCTCGGGGTGGGTGGGCGATCACGAAGGACATTCACGATTTAAATACGACGGCACCGGAGCGCAGATATAATCGCGTTTATTTGTATTGTGAAAAAAAAAATAAACCACCCCGACTCGTTCTTGTTCTATTGTGTGTGGATGCCGTGAACGAGTGTGTCTCTGTACGCACCGCTCATGTAAATGGTGCTCTGCTAATGTTAAGAGTGTAATGTGCATCTTACAACTGCAATTTAAGTGCTTGGAGTGAACGTAATCGCTGCTGGTGAACGGACTTCGGCCAAGAAGAAACTTTAAGAGGCTCCTTAGTGGATTACTTATCCATAAAGATGTGTTTTTTTAATGTTATATCGCGTAAATATAAATGTGTCGTTAAACCCGCCACCACCCGACGCGGCCAACGAGTACGGGATGTCACGTAAACAACACGTGGCAATTACCAGTTACTTTAGCACGACGGTATGTTGGAGAATAAACACAAATTACTTTATTATGGATATTGGTCGAGGATGCCGACGTATTTACGTGGAACTTAATTTATACTCTTCCATACTTAACCACGCCGTGTCAGTACGGATTGGTAAGGGCGGGAGCATAGATTAGTGCAGTACAATGGATTTGGGATATTTCTGCACTGCCCCCTACTGATAGTCATCGCAACAAAGTGGAGGGGCCTCATCCATCCAGTAGTAGATTGACAATGATATAGCTATACTATACACTACTATCCTACACACTATACACTACAATATAGGATACACTACCACACTATACACTACTAGACACTACTATACACTACACAACACTACTATCCTACACACTATACAGTATACACTACACTATACACTACTATACTATACACTACTATCCTACACACTATACACTACTATACAGTATACACTACCATACACTATATAAACTACACTACTATACACAACACTGCTATACACTACACTATACACGACACTACTAAACACTACTATACTATGACGGGCATACACCATGCTCCCACCCCCCACCCATATGATTTACCTGTATTTTTGTACAGAGGAATTGAGTTTTCAGGTCCGTTCGGCGTACAACCAACCATTTCAATGCGGGCAACAACATGTTTTTGTCTATTTGTTTGTGTTTCTCCCTTGTGATGGGACTTCGTATGATTAACGTTGAGATTTATAAGGATGACCAAAAAGGTCTGAATTTGTAATAATGTCGGCACTCCTAAGGGTTCACAGATATGCAATTAATTATTCGTGTGCCATTCGTTGTGATGGTATTGAATGATCAGACCCAGGAACATTATCTGAATGTGTAAGACATGTTCTGGCTGGTCGTGTTTACGATTGATCAGGATAATCGTGTTTGTTTGTCCGGTTAGATTATGTGAGCGAATGACCTGAACTAGGAATGGACTTGCAGTCTATGTTGCCTCCAGTGTGTATAAAACGACTTCTGTTTTGTCGGAAATCACAAATAACACATTTTTCAGCTTTGTGTTTTTTATCGTTCATTACAACTATTAAACTTTGCGAAAAGATGGCATTCAAAGGGGGGGGGGGGTGTCGGTGACATTTGAACCCCTGGCATCGCCAACCGCGTTATTCAGAGAAGTGTCAATTAAGGTCAACCAAACAGCCTAATTACTCGGGTGGTGCGCGTAAAGCCACATTTTGGCCACCCCTAGGTGCGATTAAAGCCACATTTCTTCAGTACTGGATTCACCCATGTGCTGCAGGATTGCTATCTTACACATTTCACAAACGTACAAAGTAAAGTTGTTACAGAAGTTCTGAATTTGTTGCTATATTCAGTGTTTAGTGATTAGGGTAGTTAGTTTTAATTGGATGTTTCACTGCTAATTCTATTAATAGGATCGCATCACACGCCCGGTGGTAATTAACCACACCGCTTCAACTACGAGTCAACGTGACGGGCTCATTGATAAATCGAATCATTCACAAAACATCGATGACTCGAAATTCCCTGGTGGGTGCGTTTCAGGTCATCGCCGAGAGTTAAGTTGGAAAAGCTTTGGGAGCGGTGCATTTGGAACGCATTCCATATTTTATATAATCTAATCACCGGAATAATAACATCCGTTCTAGGCAGCAGAGGGTTGTTTTTGTGTCGCTGCGACTGCTGCTGCTTTCATCTGAAGATTCCAGCGAGGAGCTTTGCCTGACTGCCTTTCTTTCCCTGCTCTCCATACAAAAAAAGGTACATAAAGAACCAAAAGATTTCGTAATTATTGTTGTTGAACAAGCGAATGTTACAATGTTGTGACTTGGACAAACAGGAATCTTATGAAACGGTGACGATAAAATAGAGAGAATGTGGTGGTAATGATGGCAATGATGCTCGCGCAAGATTTCCGCAAGTGAATGCGGTCTGCATTGTAAGCAGGGCTGGCGTTACACTCACTGTGCTTGCTGATCTATGTGTGTGTGCTTCGACTAATCCTAGCATTGTGTAAGGAAAATGACGTTATTCTTGTAAAAATATGCGAGTGTCCACGTGTATGCTGTACTCTGTTCTCTGTGTGTGTGTGTGAATATAAGCGATTGTGCGTTTAGATCGGTATGTGTGTGTGTGCTTGTGCGTTTTAGGGAGTACGGGGTTTTATTTCTGTTATCAACGCTTGCACATGTCCATGGCGTGGCTCACCGATCTTGGGTGTTGACGAGGTCGGCTCGGCCTGAACATGAGCACTTAGTGCGATGTAAACACGCCAGCACAGTTCACGTGTTGGTCTCTGTGTTCTGGCTAAACTCGGTTCATGCGTAACACCAGGATCTCTGCCAGCGAGTATTCGACGCTTCATGTGGCTTCAAAGTGCACCTAGCCTGGCACAAACGCTGCGGTGACGTCATAACTTCGTGGTGGCTGTTGTGGTTGTTATATAGTACTGGACTGCATTCTTTTCACATGTTGTGGGTGTGTTAAATCGCATTTGTCAATGACTTGAGCATGTGTATGGGGATGTAATCTGTACGTCATGTGTGCTAGAATAATTATGTGTATCCACCCCATGTTGTGTGGATGAAACAATGTTTTATTTATGCGTGAATAGCCAAATAGGTGTTTATCGTATCCATACTACTGTAGTTCTGTTTGGTTGTTCACCACTGAGCCACTTTGCTTGGTGTTGGCGATTTAATTATGAAGTGGAGAACGTGGGCATTTAGACCCAATCGGCCGAAATCCCTCGTTAAATTATAACATCTCCCTCTATTGGACTTACCTAACTAATTTAGAAACTCTTTCTTTAAAAAGAGCCATTCATCTCTATGCTAATTTGGTGAGATGATACGGTTTATTAATAGACTACCAGGAATGCTTTGACAATCCAACAATGGGGCTGTAAGTTGGGTAGCCAGTGGCTAACGAAACTCGGTGCTCCGTCCATGCAATGAGCCACTGCTGCGAAGATCCGGGTTTAAATCTGGGCCTCCCCAAGAGCAAAATAGTAACCAGTGACCACACAAACAAAAACACGGTACAGTTTGATTTTGATTTAATATGGTAAAGACCAGGGGTCGGAAACAAAAAGAACCAGAGCCGTTTTTTCTAATTCAGTAAAAAACTTTCAAGAGCCACAATCATCATACCTGTAAGTGCCTCGCTTAGTGCAGACCAATTCAGACATTATCGATCACCCCGTGCCCTTATAAATCCAACGTTCATCCTATAAAGTCCCATCGCAAGGGAGAAAAACAAATAGACAAAACACATGTACTCAATTTCCCTATATAAGAATGCGGGTAAACCGTATGGGTTGACAGGTATGCGCAATGCATGTGAACACGAGAAGGTCTTCAGTAAATACGTCGCGAAGCGGTTTTTCATGATCCGCAGGTTTGCCAAACCCGAGCATAGACCAACGACAGAGGTCGCAAACGGGTTTTGATTCCTTACCCGTACCCGGCCGCACCAGGGTCGCAAACGGGTACCCGTACCCGGCCGTACCTGTACCCGGCCGTACCTGTACCCTACCCGTACCTGGCCGGGTACCTGGCCGGGTACGGGTAGGGTACGGGTATCGGGTACTTGATTGCGACCTCTTGGATGAGCATGAAGCCATGTTGCAGGCCTGGGTGGGTTGATTCTAGGAACTTGAATTGTGAGAAGAGACAAGACGTTGGGAAATGAGTGACAAACAGTTACTCACCAGTGACTCGCGGTCTACCCGTACCCGTACCCGGCCGTACCAGAGTCGCAAACGGGTACCCGTACCCAGCCGGGTACGGGTAGCCGGGTATTGGGTAGGGATACGGGTATTGGGTACCCGGTTGCGACCTCTGACCAACGATGGGGTTGCTTGGTCGAAAATATTGATGACAACCTGGTCGGAGGGCATGAGGTTTAGCGCCACCTGATGTGTGCATACGTAGAAGTCCATTGGAGAGGACAAGTCAAGTTGTGCA